AGTTTCCATTTTCTTTCTATTATCCTAAACCCTAAACCCTATCTGATCCTGAGGCCTTACAGCAAAGCTTTTGGCCCACCTCGTTGAGTAAGGGGCGTGCAGATTACAAGGGCCTGAGAACAGGGCCTAGGGGATTACAGGGTATAGGGTTTAGGGTTTAGCTGGTTTCCGATTGTGGATGGAAGGAGCGCATGCGGCGCCTAGCTGTAGCAACAGCCTGGTCTGACATTGGAGTAAGGCCCAGCTCTTCCCCGTGCTTCTACGATCCAAGACTCGTTGCAACACGGCAAGTGCGTCCAGCAAGTCCTGCAGGACATGGAGCTCGTCAGCAGGTACCAGGAAAGGTACACAATTTAGGATCTGCGTGGAGTCTGCTCAGGCCAGGCTCAGGTCTTCAGCGCAGTTCTCGAGTAGAAATGGAGCATCTGGCTCTGAAGGAAGGAGGAGCGGTTAAAGCGCGCTTTGGGCCGGGGCGTTTACCTTAGAGTTGCTGTTTGGGTAGGGGCTACTATATTGGGGTTATATAGGGATTGTAAGGATTTTGTTGGGGGTATATAGGGATTGTAGGATATATATTAAAGTTGTATAGAGATAATGGAAAACAAAATGGAAACTACTATTTAGGGGTTAGGGTTTAATGTAGACCCATCATTAATAAACACCCTCCTTTTAAGGGCCTTAATATTAGGATCCCTTTTATAATCCCTATTAAGGGCAGGGTGTTTGTGAATCAGGGGTCTGGGTTACTCAAGGCCAAGTACTGCACCTTTGGACCGTGTTTCGGTACACCCATCGGGATCTATACGGCCTTGACCCATGAACTCTCGAAGATCTAAACCGTGAGCCTTCAACGCTCACCGGGGGTATTTACCCGCAGGAACAGCCGGTCATGGCTGAAGATGTTGAAGAATTCTCAGCCTTGAACCTAAAACCCTCAGCCTCCTCAATTGCACAAACAGCCGGTCATAGTTGAAGATGACTTTTTGCAAAAAGACTTTCGCCCCCTAAACCCACACACAGGAGGTCGTAGTTGAAGTCCGCTCATTTGCACCTAGAAACTGACAGCCCCTACAACCACAAAGAATGTAGCTCATTGCCGAAGACATTGCTGTGCAAAAATCCTCCCAAGCCCACAAATACATGGTCATTGTCAAGTATGTTGAGCCCGAAAAGCTTAAACCCTTCGACCACAAACCGCCGGTCATCGTTGAAGATGGTTCGTTGTAAAAAAGACCCTCACCCTCTAGACCTTACCAGAACCCCAAAAGTATGTAGAATAATAGCCTTTTGGGCTATTCTTAGGGGTTTAAGGCTATTTTACCTACTTTTAGGGTTCAGGTAAACCTTAATCCCTAAACCGCACAAGCAGCTGCTCATCGTTGAAGATACTTCTTAGTAAAAACGACACTCACCCTCCAGATGCCCAAACCCAAACCCCGCAAACAGCCGGTCATAGTTGAAGATGTTGAAGAAGGAGCTGCTGAAGGGCCACGGTCTGGCGCAGCTTTGCGCGGTTGAGTTCACTTGATGCTCTGGAATCCTTTAGTTGCTTTAGGGTTTAGGGTATATGGTGTGGGGTTTACGGTGCTTGTCAAACTTGCCCCTGAACACCGAAAGCATGTAGAATGCTAACCGACCTCAGGTCCACTTGCACGTGCCCCCCAATGCTAGGTGTCATACTTTAGGAGGACCCCCCCCCAGTATCCCTTATAGTCATTATTACTGGGTGGGGGGGTCCACCTAAGTCATACTGTAAAAGGAGATCTAGCTTGGCCAGGACTTTGGCAGTCCCCAAAATAGGGGGACCTTGCTATAGACCCAAAAATACTCCGCTATAATCGGAATCTGATTTTGGGAACCCCCCTAAACCCTAAACCCTAAACATCCCAAACCCCAAGCCACATTGTTGCGAATAACCCACAGAAGCCACTCAGTTGATAGACTTCAAAAAAGCGCCTTGACTTCATTATTACTGTTAGATTTGGGATTTAGGGTTTAGGGTTTAGGGTTTAGGGTTTAGGGTTTAGGATTTAGGGTTTAGGATTTAGGGTTTAGGATTTAGGGTTTAGGCCTGAAGGGGGTGGAGTATCCACGTACATTACCTTATTACTATACGTAGTTGCTATTGAAACGATGGTCTATAAGTATCATTGCTCAAAAGTAGGTAAAACAATGGTCCAACACCCATACAAAGAGCCCGAACAAATCATTCCACGTACTTTGGCAAAGCCCCAAACTGTAAACCTTCCTGTAGGGCAGGTACCAGGTACCAGTAACCTAAGAAGTGCAGACAACAGTGGCGTCGCTGAAGCAGGTAATATCCTCTTTTCAGGAGTTGGTTTAAGGTTTGCGGGCGAATTAGGGAATCCAAAGTGGCGCAAGATTCCCTCCATCTACCGTACTTTGAGGTTCAGGATAACTACAACCCAACTACGGTTGCTACCTATAATGAAATTATGGCCATATCCTGAGACTTTGGGGGCTTGTGGCTTGGTGATACTTACCCTGAACCTCCAAGTGGGTTCACTCCTTTTACAACTGGGAAGCAACATACTACCGAAGATGGACAGTATGATGTTGTGGCGAATCGGCAACACGGGGACTTAAATAAAAGAGTTTATGGCCTCATGATAAACCGCAGATCTCTGAAGGGTCCGCTTTGGTGCTCAGGTCTACATGCAATCGCGACTGACAAGTGCAAAACGAGTTTCCAATCAGCGTTGCTGGTTTCTACATTGTATTCTTGCTAGCAAGTGGCTTATGACTGCTGTTGTTATTGTTTCTCCTGTGCGGTGTTGCCCTTACGCTGTGTGATACTCTGCCGACAGGCTTTGTCTTCAGTTCATTGCAACTGGTGTGCCATTAAACCCTAAACCCTATTGTTATCTCTGCCATTTCCAGTAATTGCTAGGTAGACAAAAACCTAGCACCACCTTATGCAGCCTCCGCCCTAAGTGCAACAACCCGAAACGACGGCCAACTGTTCCATTACGTAGTCTGCTTCGTGGTTCAACCCACAAGACTAGATCCCTAAACCCTAAACCCTAAACCTCAAAACATTGCAGACAGAAGACCCCACACCCCCAACCCTCAACCCTACACCCTAAAGCCCGAGACACTAAACCCCTAAGCGTTAGACCTCTAAACCCTGAACCCCCATATCCCCAAGCCTGAAAGCAGTAACCCCTAAATCCTAAAGCCCCATACCTTAAACCCCAAATCCTAAACCCTACAAGTGGGGGTCCCCTTTTGTTACAAAATTATACTTAGAACAGGACTTATAACCGTATTTATCCCGTTCCCATTGCATTTATATTTGAGGGGCCCCTCCTTTTAAAGCTCTAACGTTCCCTATATCCTAAACCCTAAGTCCTGAAGCTCCTAACCCAAACCCTAAACCCTAAACTCTACACCCTAAACCCTAAACCAACCAACCTGCACTGTAACCTGAACCCCAAAAGTACGTAGAATAATGGCCTTTGGGGCTACTTTTAGGAGTTTGGGGCTATTCTTTTACCTACTTTTGGGGCCCAGTTACTCAAAACCTTAAACCCTACATTCAGAACCCTAAACTCTGAACCCCAAATCAACCAACCAACCCAAACCCTAACTTCTCAAGCATAAGTCTTCCCCTAGGGCTCAATGTCTATAAATAATACCTACATTGGGCCCCAAAGTCTTATGAATATGACTTAAACTGGGTTGCTGTTAAGGAACTTAAATTAAGTTACATAATGGGTATATATAGTGATTTATAGGGTTTCCCCAATATAGTAACTTAAATTAAGTTCCTCAACAGCAACCCAATAAATTGGGCTATTTAGAGCCTTAGGGTTCCACTCCAACTCAGCCAGGCCAGCCCGCCCTTGCGCTCGAAAGGCCCCCGGCCCTCATCGCCACAGGGCGGGGCCTTGAGGGCGCGGAGGCTTAGGGTTTAGGGTAGAGGATTAGGAGTAGAACAGGGTTGAGGCTGTTGAGTTTAGGGTTTAGGGTGCAGGGCTTGGAGTTCAGAGTGTTTAGCTTGGGGGTTTTGAGGCTTTAGGTCTAGGATACAAAGCATTCAAGGCTTTGGGCTGCATCAGCTAGGGCCTACGTTTTGCGGCACTTATGGAGTTATGTATTGGGATGATGGAAAATAAAATGGAAACTACTATAATGAAGCTATATAAGGTCATAATATATTGGGGTTACGTTTGGGGTTTGGGTTTGGATTTTGAGTTGAGATCTGTTGAGTTGAATTCAAGCCCAGTCATAAGCAATCCACCCTACTCCAACACCCTCTTGATTCCCAGTAAAGGCGCATATGACTTACAAAGTACTTAACCTTATCCAGGGAAGGGGAAGCATAGCAGTTGCAACCCTCCAAAAAGCGGACCTCCAAACCTTATGTAGGAAGACTCGCCTCATTCTACAGAAAACAATTGGAAGCGAACTACTGAGCACATTCACCATCACAACTGTTGGAGGAAGAAAGGTGGAAGGGCAGCCTTTATGAAGCTTGCTTGAAGATACATGAACTTTGTAATCACAGTAACTGGGATCATAGCCCTACTTACAAGCCCCCCTAACTGGAGTTATGTAGGTTACCCATCTGACAGGTAAGCTTGGAATAGACCAGGTTTCTGGTAAGACCCATTATTTCTATATCTCTATATATATCCATAATTATCCACATTATGGTAACTTCTTCTAAGTTCCTTGACAGCAACTCAATAGAACAAGGGTGATCGGGCTGTATTGGCGCTGGTCGGTTGTCCGATGCGGTACTTAGGTTTGGAAAGCCAGGATTTCGGTTTGGGGTTCAGGGTTAGGGTTTAGGGTGCAGTATCTAGGATGAACTATGTCTTGGGATCCGCAGTTTGAACACTACACACTAAACACCAAATCCTAAACTACAAAACACACCCTAAACGCTTGCGGTTTAGGATTTAGGGTTTAACTCAGACCAAATCCAACACAAAAAAAGGCGATCTTGCCACCAAAGGTCCTGGTACCCAAAGAATGGTTACTTGGGGCTTTACTACATCTAATGGTTACTGTAGTTCAGGCTTTGGGAACATATATCATTGTTTGGGTACTTGGGCCCTGTGGGCTCTATCTGAACTACGATTTAGGAGTGGGGTCGGATGAGGTCATTACACCTTGCCCTGTCAGATGAACCATGCTGCTCACCCTAAACCATAAAACCCGAATCCTACATCCTAAACCAAGAACCCTAAACCGTGAACCCAAAACCCTTAACCTTTACCCTGCACCCTGAACCCCTAAACCTGAAATCCTGAATCATTACACCCTAGAGTCCCCCTTAAGTAGGTAGAATGTCGGGTATATCAGGATCTTTTTGTAAAAAGCCCAAAGCCATACTCCATCTACTTAAGGGGGACTATACCCCTAAACCCTAAACCCTGAATTGTCCAGATAGCCTTGGGGACACGGCGGCCACGTCCCTCCCTCAGAACCAGAGACACTCTTTCAGGGATTAGGGTTCAGGGTTTTGGGGATTGGGGGTTTTAGGGTTTTAGGG